ATCATTCTGGGTTGGCTTCTGTTCTGCTACATGATTATGAAGAGAAAAAGCCACGTTTTTATGCCCAGTTTTGGTGGAGAGGAGTGTGGTGTGAGTGCTAATGTTAGCTTAAAACATTTATAGCTACCCAGCCATTTTTTGTACAGTATAAATTAGTCTTCTTTGTTGATTCTTTCCTGTGTCACCAGTGTGCTTGTTAATATTTTGTGATTATGTTGATCGCCTTGAGGCAACTGTTGTTGTGATTTGGTGCTATATAAATAAAACTGAATTGAACTGAATTGAATTGTTGGCCTTCTTGATAGTTAGCAAACATCTTGGTGTTTGGTCAAAATGATAAGGTGCTTATGTCAGGGAAGAAGACTCAACTACCAAGCCAGCTCACCTGAGTTCTCCCACATGCAAGACTCCATCCTGAAACAAACGGTTAACTTATTAAAGGCTTTTCTGTTTCTTTTCCAATTCGGTTTGTGTGATGCTCCACTGAGATGGCTCTTTTTGTTGTACTATATTTCTGAATTTCTTCAAGGATCCATTCGAAAAGGTGCAATAAACTCGGTGGACCTCATTTCACAGCAGCAGGTAGCTGACTTGCACTCGCAAAGTGATGCAAGTCCACATAACTGACCCATTTCCATTACTCAAGCTTCCCAAGATCTTGCTGGCAACACCAAGAATTGCAAGAATTCCGAACAACTTGTAAATTGAACCAACAACTAATAGCTAACACCTGTCAGCAGAAAGGATACGCTTTGATTGTGATCTTAAAAATAAAAGTGCTGGACTCACTATTGAGTCACACTAATGTCACACTAACACTAACTCCACATAACCTTTTTCACACACCTCAAATGTATTTATTTATTTACTGTATTGGCCAAGACACCATTTGGCATTGTAGAAAGGACTTCAGCTGTTGCTGACCTATTTTGACCTCATTTTGTACAAATTGCTCTTAGATCCCAGTAAAGCGCAACTGCTTTCTCTTCTGTGGTTTTCCTTAGAGTGAAAGTGGCATATCTAGGTGAAGAGGTACTAGTATTAGTTTTGTTACTTAGCAGTACTTGCTCTTATTGGCCCATTTACAGCTCATCCTACCCTTTGTCCTAGAGGCATAGGGTCCATCATTTACATTGTTTACAACTTGTAACATGTTTTTTGAAGAGCTTAGGATGCTTTAAACAACAAACTAGAAGCTTCTCTTTTCAGCTTTTGCTTACAGTGGCTTGCAAAAATGTGACAAAATGTGGAAAAGTTCAAGGGAGCCGAATACTTTTGCAAGCCACTCTATATGTACATATATTAAACAGCATTCCTTTCCAATGGAAAAATCTTTGTAGGTATTTCACTGCAATTTTTTTTTACAGTAGATTATGTATTTTAGTGTTTTGCCCAACATGCATGAGTTTTTCACTGCACTGTGTCTTAAAATTTGTGGTTGTTATATTGTCATAGTTGTGATGCATATTTTCCTCTTCCTTCCCCTTCTTCCCCTTGCATGTCCTTGTGCAACAAATTTGTCTGATCGGTCATCTGTGACACAGCCAAAAATGGGATGTGTTGCAATTTTCGTTACTAAAATCAACCATAATTAGAGGACAAACATCTTTCTATCATCTTGTAAAAAAACTTTGTGATTGTGGCTTTTGTGTTGGCCACACTGATCATTTCTTTCAGAAAGATAGTATCCATCATTGCTTTGCAGCATACATTTAAAAAAATGAGTAGGTATATAAGGATTCTTCACCTTCAAGTTTGAAGGCTGTTCAAATGTTTTGGTGCACAAAAGCTTCACCAAGTTTGCTTTCAGTTTGTTCAATATTGTTTTCCTAGATACTTAGAATCCATGTGAAAACAGCCATTAACTAGCTCTCTGGGTTCACCACTAGTCGTTTGCACCAATTAGACGAGACATTATATTGCATCAGTGCAGTCACCTGGCCCGTGCTCAGAAACAGGTCCTTCTGTAATTATAGTCAGTGTCCAGTGGCTACAGGATACCTCATTTGAGCTCCTTAATCATTTGCTCTGAGATATTAGCTTGCTACACTTGGCTATATAAGGTCTCCACAACATTGCCGTTGGTAGACTTGACCATTGTTTAAATGATTACAGTGCTCATGCTTCATATTTGATGCTAGGTTTCTTTCACATTTTGCTTACACTGATTCCTTGTGTTGAATTTATTACTAACATGGAGGATGTCTAAAAGAATTTAAAGCATCTGATGTTACTGTGGCGCTTTCATATACTCTTAGCCCTTAATTCAGTTTTCCTGATTCTTCAGTGTCTGCCTTAAGGTAAACTGACTTGAGGATGACATAAAACTCCAATTTTTAGAAATATGTTTTCTAATAATGTGGATGAGATATCTGGAACTGTATTTCTTTTTTTACATCTTTCTTCTACACATTTTTCAGTTTTGAGTATCTCAAAGGATTATCTCAATGATAAATAAAGTAATTACCTCAGCAAAAGACTGTAACACACCTGGCAAGAAATATATGAGCCTTTCTTCCTTGAGGTGCACACAGACATCAGCAAAAATACTTTTTTTGTTTTCTTCTTCTTTTGTATTTTTATTTATAACTTTACAATGAAGTGTTTACAACTGTAATGGCAGTGTCTGTAAGTGTAACAGGACCTAAAAGTGACGAAGACGACTTAAGAATGCGAAAAGTTAAGCAAGAGCATAATTTATTGTCTTGAGGTTGAATGCAGAGTCGAAAGTATAAAATCCACTGAGTGTAGACAGACTGCTCTGCGGAATAGGGAAGTGGAGACACGTGGGGGAATTGAGACACAGGTGCTGATAATAAAAAGATACCTTCTAAACCCAGACAGGAAACTCTCACTGGAACATGCTACAAAAATAACATGGAGGAATCCAGACAGAAACCTTAAAGCATAATATCAAAAAGCTAAAACTCCTTCCTAGAATAAACAAGCAGTAAAAAAAAAAAAAAAAAAAAAATCTAAACCTTAAACACAGAGAAGAAGAAAAAATAAAAAGCAACCCAAAATTAACTAAGGATTCAAAACTTTCAAAATCACCACAAAAGCCACAGAATACAACACAGTACCTATTCATTTATAACAGGAAGTCTACAGAAAAATAGTCTTAAATTCTCTCCAGCTGTCAGAACCTGTTATTTCTCAGTCGCTCATACATACCTTAACAATAAACAACAACAACATAAGTTAGCTTTTTTATATTCAGTCAAGCCAACAGAAGTTTAAACTGAGCATCAGAATGAAGGAGAAAGGTGATTTAACTGACTTTGACGTGGTTGTTGGTTCCAGACAGGGTGGTCCGACTATGACAGAAACTGCTGCCCTACAGGGATTTTCATGCATGGCTATGTCTCGGGTTTACAGAGGTTTACTGAGCATCCGTTTTCTGGATGAAAATCCCTTGTTGATGTCAGAGGTCAGAGCAGAAATTTGAAGGAAAAAGGGAGTCAAGCCAGGTACTAACAAAATGCATCACGTGAAGTAGCAGTTGAGTGTAAATGTAAAATCTGTCTTTTCACAATCTGATAAATATCTTGAACAGGATCTCCGTTAGTCTCAGTCGTAGCCTTGGCTTTTGTTCCTGCGCTCTCCAACATACCTTCACACACATAATCCGCATTTCTCAAACACATAAACACATACAAGCTTTTTTTTTATAGAGCTAACATGCAAAATTCATGTCAGAGAAAAGATATTTTTAACAGGACATTAAAATATTTCTGCTACTATCTAAATATTGATTAAGTTTACTAATAAACACAACTCCACAGCAAAGCTTTGGTGTTTAGTTGCAGTTCAGACAATCTTTGTGGTAGGTCCTCAGCCTCAGGTGTGTCTAAACAAACAAACAAAAAGCCAGTCCTCTCAGAGATTGGTCAACTTTGGTAGCTGGCAAATCGCATGGCATCAACCATAACCAAACATTACGCAAGGTTAATAGTTTCTTAATAACACAGTCAAGTATGTGGATACCATTAGTGCATCTCAAATTATAGTCTATGATTTTTTTTGTTAAATAATTCAACTGGAAAGGGTAAACTTTCAAATATTCTCTATTCATTACACATAAAATGAAAAAAAAAGATCCAAACCTTTTTTGTTTTAATTTGGATGATTATGGCTTATAACTAATGAAACTCTGAAAAGCAAGTTAGTTAGACTCAAGGTTTTCATTTCATGGTAGCAGAGATATATCAGACATATCTGTGGTGTGGTCAGCACGCATCAAATGATAAGTTTGCTTTTCTGCTCTCACGTGTTTCATTATTACTGTGTTCTAATGACATAAGGTGAAAATTGTTTTCTTTTCTATACACGTCTGTGCAAAACAAACAAACCGCCCCCCCAAAAAACCTTTAATATAGTTTTAAATAAGATCTTTCGGCGCTTTCCAGTTGCAAACATCAGAGGCATCACTATACAATGTATATACTACTATACAATATAATCCATACTTTTTCTTGTGGATAAAGCCAGATTTTTCTTTTTTTTTATTTCCATCGTGACAAATAATAAAAATTATTTAAACAAAGTTAGCTGGAGGATGAAGTTTAGACGTAAACATGGACTTTTTGAGATGTTTTTGAAGTTCAAAACTGTGCACTGCGCTCTGCAATGCTGCAGTAAGTCAGGAAGCGGTTAATTAGCAAGGTTTTTTTTTTCAGAGGTTAAAACCTCGCTTCTCTGTTCATCAGTAGGAGGAAAACATTGACAGACTGAATTAATATCTGTTGAAGGTGGTCACCAAAGAATTTGAAGCACCCGAAGAACCTCATTTGTGTTCTTCGGGTTCTTCCTACATTTTCCGAGGTGTCACGTTCTCTGCGATTAGCCTTTCACCGCAACCTTTTTGTTTATTTACGTCTAATCAGTCCATCTGCCTCTTCTTGGTGACTACTTCTGCTGTACAGAAAGCTTGCTTCCTGTTTTAAGCACAACCCTTCAATCCTTACCCACCCTTGCCTACTTAAAACCATGCATAGGAAACAGCGTACACACTGTATATACACAAGCCCGCACCGGTGTTAATTTGATGGCCATGGTGGTTTAGAATTTCACAGCGCCTCAATTCAAGATGAATTTCCTCTACAGATTGGGAATTTTCCTTAATATTCTGTGGATACAAGCTTTCTTTGTGCCTGGATTACAGTGTAATCTGTCAGAGGAAGGTAGGGCTTGAAGGATGGTTTATTTATCAACACTGGAGTATAAACTGATACTATGCAACCACACACTATTGCCAAATGTGAAAATGGGAGCAATACAGATACTCAGAGCACGTTTCTTTGTTAGCGGGGCATAAGGCATTAATATGAACTTTGGGCTCCTTGTTAACTTGAATGCAATGCCCACAATGTCTTTTTTTTGTATTTCCAATATTCTTCATTTATTGTGTTTGTCATTTTTGGAGCAGATGTTTTGTTCTTGAAGGATGAGCCTAATCCAAAGTGTTTCTCTCGGACAACATTGGATTTCACCTGCTTCTTCGAGACTGCAGACAACAGGACTTATAATTTGTTCTACTCTATAGAGTATGTTAAACACTGTGAATCTACTGAACTTTCTGTATTATGAAAACTATTAAATACTATTTATGCATTGTGTTTAGACACTTTTTGATACTTCTGGCATGCTACTGATATTTATTTATTATTCTATGTGCACGCTTCTGCTGTATACTGACTACATTTTTAGGAAAGTTCTTAGTTAGTTAGTTTTTTTATTGATTGACCATTTTAATGGTTTATGCACGATAGTCACCTGTATTGCATTTCTTCTTACCCGCAAGGCAAGATGTTTAAAACTGTTTTATTAGCTCATTAATGAGCAGCCCTGCCTGCTGTTTTTTCTTTCATCCCAATCAAGCTCTCCAGCGCAGAGGTGTGAATTATCCGTCCAGAGAACAGAGAAGGGAACTTTGCTGCACATCTGCTCTTTACCTGAAGTTATGTGGTTTGTTGACTGCATCCTTACAGTCACTGAATCCTTTACGAACGCCACCATCTACACTCGGACTGTCTTTATGAACGATCATGGTAAGACATCTTGTCTTTTTCAAAACTGAATTTAGGTTTTGCATCCTTGAATCCTAGTTTAAATGACGGGAAGGCTTTAGGATGATTTGCAAGGAAGTAACTATGTTGATTAAAAAGAGAGAAGAAAGCACAAATAGCATTGCTAACTTATTGTGGGTATCACCAGTTAACTAGAAAGTCAGGGGCCACCTCAACCTTTGCCAAGGCACTAGTCAATTATTCCCACCATCTTCCCACCTATAATCCAATACTGTGTTCTTCCTTCTGTGATGATGTCCCAGCCCCAACTCCTAAATCCGAGTGTTTTTTCTTTTAGTTCTTTTAGATCCACCAGTTAATCTGTCTTTACACCCAAATGGCCAAGTGGGACAGCTGAATCCTTCATGGACTTCAAACATAAAAGACGTACTAGTGAAGTACAGAATTGAGTACTCCTCTGAGGTCCTTTACAAGGAGTTAGATCTAGAGGTACACACAGCTGCTCTCCTTTGTCTTTCAGCTGTTCCCTTTAGGAGTTGCTGCAGCAGTTCATCTGTTGTCATCTGACACTACACCCAGCATCCTCTGTCACACCAACGCTCTGCATGTCCTCCTTTCATAAATCTTCTCTGTGGCCTTCCTCTTTTCTTCCTGCCTTGCAGCTCCATCTTAACCTTCAATTGTCCGATACATCCACTGTCCGTCCTCTGCACATGTTCAAACCATCTCAGCCTTGCCTCGCTAACTTTATCTCCAAACGGCTCAACCTAAGCTGTCCCTCTGATGTGCTCATTTCTAATTTTGTCCATTCTGGTCCATTCTTGCTTCTACTGACTTTCATTCCTCTTCTCTCCAGTGCATACCTCCATGTCTCCAGAATCTCTTCCACCTGCTCCATGCTCTCAGTACAGATCATGTTGTCTGCAATCATCATAGTCCACAAAGACTGAGTAGTCTATTGTGTTTTCATCGGTCACCCATTGTGAAGCCTTAGGGTGCTTCACAAATCAGCTTCCCTTTCTAGACCCTGGGGTTAAGACCATCTTTATAATTCTTTAAGTGTTTACGGCTCAACTGCTGTTCATGGCAACTGCATTGGATGTGAATTTTTATACAGCTCCCCAAAGTCTATGAAGGTTTGAAGTTATGCATTTGGTGGTTAGTTGTTATAAAAGTCAGTCTAAAGACTGCCTAAATATAGAATTCCATTTACTGTCAGTTTGCTGATAACCAGTGCCAGAATTACCAAATGATTCCTGAGCTCTGCCTTCTGAGACTGACTCATCTCGTTGTAGCTTATATTTTTGTGGTTACTTTTTTCAAACATACCTTTATGATGATGCTTTTGATTTCTACCTAAGAAAGAGGACATACTGGATTCTCTGAAAGAAGGCGAGGAGGTTAAAGTGCAAGTCGCTATTAAACCTGATTCACCTTTTGATGGCTTTTGGAGCAGGTGGTCAGATCCTGCGCGAGCTGTGGTCCCCCAAAGTGCAGGTGCGACCAAGCGAGAATTACAGAGAGAATAAAATGGTACCCATTGAACAGCACCTGGTTGCTCAGTAATGATCTTTTCCATGCTTTTCAGATGACACTGCACTTTTATGCTTCACCTCTGACCTGAAAAATGTCACCTGCCACTGGAATTCGAGCAAATATGATAAAAACAACTTTGGACTTTTTTACCAAATCCTTCACAGGTAACACAAAACACTCGTTCATCACTTCATGAATTATTACGCACAGGTCATTTTTTCATCCACCTGTGTTGTGGCACAAAAGCATCCATCCAAGCATCCTTCCATCTTATTGTCACACAGTTTGAGCACTAAAATACTCAAACTAATCCAGAGTTTTGAACAGGTCAATTCAACAGAAATGTATATGAAACTTTTATTTTCTGTGATTTGACTTTGTTACAACTCTTGTAGCAAGACCTCGAGGTGGACGAGTTGGACTGAATGTGTGGCTGATGAGAAAATCACTGACCAGTGTTGTTTCCATGGAGGAGAGTCCAGGGAAGTCAGGGTCAAGCTCACAAACATCTCAGGTCCAAAAAGGAGGACTTTCTACACTGGAGCATTTACACTCAGCAACTCCAGTGAGTGGCATTTAATTGTTTTATTTCTATCATTCTTGGTTATTTTGCATGTGCGATCTGTGTTTAAACTGAAATTATTGCTTTTTTTTTTTTTTTTTTTTTTTAAATCAAGAAGCAGCTCAGAAAAGTCCCCATTATTAACCAACTGTGCCATGAATGACTAACTGCTATTTTAGTTTGTATGCTGAAGTTTTGCTTCTAAGAACATGCTCATACATTTACTCAGATCTTTCAGTCATATAAGTGATTAATATATACAACAGTCCTCTCGTTAGTTGTGAACATGTTCAGACTTGGTTTACCTTTCAATTTGGAGGAAAGGCAGAGGTTTGTTAGCTCTTAAGCTTGCCTGGATGTCTTGAAGGAAACTTTCAGTTAGGTTTGTGGGCTTCCTTTTCACTGATCAAACCTGAGACAAGGTCTTATGAAAGATTTTTTCTTTGCAGTCAAAACATCCCCACCAAGTCATCTGAAAAGAATCCTCAAGAAAGATAAGTTTTGCTTGAAATGGGACGCTCCTCTTCCGTCACTGTCAAATTACCTACAGTATGAATTTGACCACCAGCTGAAAGAATATGAAGGATGGAAGGTAAGTAGCTGTGTATGTGTGCGCTGTCTTTACTGACATCCAAGGGCCATGTTTGAATTGAATATATCTTCCTTCCTGCCCTTTAGATTCCTTTCAAAACTATTTAGAATTATCATGATGGCACATATTCTGTTTGTGGACCAATGATATTAGGTCTAAGCAGTGTCAAGCAGTGTGAAGGCTGCTTGATCTTTCCAGCAGATGGCGCCAGCATTGAACTTTTTCAGTTTACGTGCAGCCAGCCCTTTAAATCACATGCATGAGTGCATTTTAAGAGAAATCTCAAAGGTGTTGTCAAAGAATGCAAAGGAAATAACAGACTATAATCATATAATAATGTGATTTGGTTCCCTTTCTGTTTCAGTATTTCCGTCCAGAGATAGTAAAGGGCCCTAAGACAGAAGCATGTGTTGAGGTTCCAGCAGGCAGCCAGTACAGAGTCAGGGTCAGAGCTAAACCCGCTGGGCAAATTTACTCTGGCTTCTGGAGTGACTGGTCCAATGTGTTCACTGGTGAAAACCCCCGTGACTCCCTCAGTTACACAGGTAAGCCTCCAGCAAGATCATAAAGTAAAATAAAAAGTATCACTAGGTAGAGATGAGTAGATTACTCCTTTCTAAGAACTAGAAGCAAGTAGTTTATTTAACTTTTAGTAGTTTGAAATGTTATCTTTAAGTACAATGATGTTCTTTGTTGCTGTAAGGGAACAAACAGATATGATACATTTCAAACTTGGATGCATTGCATTTTCAGGCGTGTTGCTCATCGTGTGTATCCCAGTGTTTATACTGATAACAGCCACCATCAGCACCATCGTGTGTGCCCTGCACATCAGGTAGATTTTATTTTTCTCACAGCTCATTCAAAATTTTAATCACCTATAAGAAAATCCAAACCAAGATGTTCCCTTTCTTTTATAAGGGTTTTTTTTTAAACTAAATTTTATGACATAAAAAGATTTAAGGACATGTTTCCTCTCTTTTGTGCATTTTTATAGGAAAGTCAAGCAGTATTTTTGGCCACCAATTCCAAACCCTGAGAAAGTCTTGCAAGGCTATCTGACAGAGATCAACACGCAGAAAAGGGTAAGTTATTTAACTGCATTACAGGTACTTTCATCCTTGTTTTCTTGGAAAAATGGACTAGAAACAGATATTATGTGGGATCACAAAACTCCTGCAGGCCCACCCATAGCAAAAAACAGCAACTATTTATTGGAATACTCTGATCTGTATTTTATTTGGTTTTGGAAAATATCTACAGTATGAATTTAGATTAGTTTTGTGACATCTTTGTGGCATGATGATAAGGTTTCACACTCTCGTTATATAAAAAAGTGCTTGCTTTTAAATGAATTAATATTAATGATACTAATAAATGGTGATCTTTTAACTCATCACAGTATCTAATACAGTAGAAGTCTATACTGACAGTCAAATTCATGGTGGAGAACTAGAGGCGTGTCCCTCGTGATTCTAAGTCTTCTTGTAGACTTCTCCACTAAAAAGTGCTGCTTCGTCTTTGGGCTGTAACCGTAGATTCCGCTCTGATCACCAGTGTTACACATCAAAGTCAGCAAGGATTTAAATGCATTTTTTACATTTAGATGTCAAAAAATATTTTGATCAAACTAATAGCAGTATGTTTTTTGTTTTTTTGTAAGAAAAACAAAAGTTAAGCTTGCTCCAAATGAAAGCACTTTTCAAATGACATTTTTTTTCCTTATTAAAAATAAATCCCTGTACACTATAGGATCATCCTGTTCTAGAAAAGCTGTGCTCCGAGGAAAACACTACATCTGTAGTGGAGATCATGTCTGAAGTAGAGGTTTCCGAGTTTAGGAAGCCGTCAGAAGAATTCGCCGAGCTCCTGTCATCAGAAGGGAGCTTCACCAGCAGCGAACTGGTAGATGGAAGCCCGGGGACAGAAATCTTTCCAGACTACGTGACTCTCAACAAAGACAGTATCTTTCTCTGCTCACCAGCAAACATTTACATACATGAGCATGTGACAGAGAAAGGAAACCATGAGATAGGAGATGAGTACCTTCCCACGTGTTCCTGCTCTGATGGCTCCGTCTGCTTCTCACCTTGCTTATGCAGTGACCTTCTTAACCATTCATATTTGCCTCTGGCAGAGCCTGCAGAAAAATTCAGCTGCAAGGTCATTGCTGCAAGGAGTCCCGGAAACATCTATACTAACTTTCCATAAGAAGAACAAAAAGTGTAGCAAGTGTTTTTTTTGTTTGTTTGTTTCCATCAGTGCAAATCTTCTGTACAGTAATCTCTGCACTTTGTACTGTTTGGCTGTAAAAAAAAAGGCTACAAAATGAAAACAGAGCTCAGCTATGAATTATTTGAGCCTTAACACATTGTTTGGCCCAAGTAAAGAAGCGATTCCACGAAGTCGTCATCAACGGTCAGCCCTGATATGTAGTCTTTTAGGATCAGATGGTATCAGATTTGGAGTTTAAGTTTTTGGTTGGCAGGATTTTACAGCGACTTTCATCTTACTTTCCATCGTCAAACTGTATATTGTATGCAGGGCTGTCTCTATCTTGTGTGAGAGAAAATGGTGAGACTATGAGTCTGTGACTGCGTTCAGTGGTGTGACCAATTAAGAATCATTTCTGAGTCTTGTGCTATACTCAGCCATATGCTCACAGGATCCCTCTGCGACACGTTCCGGCTCATTCACACTGCCGCTGTTTATGGAGCAGAGAGCCTTCGGCAGCTGCTTATATTTCATATAACTTAAAGTTGTTATGCTAACATTTCTTTTGGGGGAGTTTTACACTATTGTGATACAATTTTATACATCGCAGTAATGGAATGCAATGGAGTTTGCTTTGGACCTTGGTGTAGAAGATGTACATTCTTTCTGTATGCTGTATAAAGCAAATTTCCCCTTAAATGTTACATTGTTGCCAAGTGAAGGTGACACCCGAGTGTTTTTTCCCCTTTCACTGTCCTACCAATGTTGTATAGTGATTGTACGTGTTACTTTTTAGACATTTTTGCAACTTCCTTTCTTTTTTATTTTTTAAAGAAAGTACAATAATAACTGAAAAAAGTGTTAATTATGCATTACAATGTTGTTTTCATGTTTTGCAGTTTTGACAATAAAATTTTACAAAATTATATTCTTTTTGGATTTCCTGTAGTCACTGAACCATTTAGGCTTTGACTGGTATTACGTTTCAAAGCGAAACCCAGGAGATGCTCAACATTTTACATATTTGCCTCTGGCTGGGCCTGCAGGTAAGTTTAACTGCAAGGTCACTGCGGCAAGGAGTATCAGAAACATCTATATCAAGTTCCCCTAAAAAGAAAGAACAAGGTAAGAAGTGTACTTTGTTTCCAGTGGTGGAGATTTCATGTACAGTACAATATGTAAAGTTGGCTGTGAAAAGGATACAAAATGAGGGTTAGGGCTCAGTGGTGACTTATCGGATGATTAAAAGAAGTGTTTCCATAAAATAACAACGATAAATTTTTTCTATGAAGGCTTTTAGAACAAAAACGTTCACCTCAGACTTCATCTTCTTGCTTTTCTTGCCTCCACCTAAATAACAGCTACAGTATCCTACCTTGAGATATCTTATTTTTATTTTTCAAAGCACAAGCCGTCTTTCTGTGTGTTATACTTTTACTGTCAGTAGGTGGTGGTAGAGATCAGCAGGTGGGCTGTTGTCACAGTAAGTCCTTCTCAGACATGTGGGCAGCTACACTACATGACAGAAACTGGGAGAACATTTAGATTTTGGCCAAGTCTTAAGTTTGTATTTTTATCATACATTCACACACACACGATATCCCCGTAAGCAATATTAACTTTGTAGTAATATGAGTAAACTGGTGAGGATGTTTCACTTCAACTCTGTCATAAAAAACAAACAAAAACCAACAGACACATTACAGCTAGATGTTAATTTATTACACAAAATAATTGAAAGGCTCAATGTAAGATGATTCAAATAATTATCACTCACAAATTGTACTTAAGACCTGAGATGAAACATGGGAAATCACAACATCACGACCACTGGTGCGGACGAGGGAACCAACAAGAAAATGAACAAGAATTCTTTAACAAAATCACTGCACTGTTTGGGAACACCGTCTTCAAAAAGCAAGAACTGCATTAAATGTTCATTCAAACATTTATTGAATATTTTGGTGTCACTCGGGGAGGTTGATGATTTTAGATAATGCCAGCTCTTGACACAGTACTAATCAGACAGTGTATGACTGTATCACTCACTGGTTCAGAATCACAAATGGCTCTGCAACTACTGTATGCTATCACCCCGCATCCAGCCAGCCGCCTTCTGTAAAATATACTGCTGTCGCACTTTAATGGCACATCTACAGCGTTCGCCAGACTGTATGATATCATGGCCATAAATTAGCCCACAATCGTCTATGAGGCAATCGCAGAGGGTGGGAGAAAAGCGAGCTATGAGAGGGAGACAGTTGAGAGAAAGAGAGAAAGCTTAAAAGAGTCAGTGTTTACTGGCGTACAAGCCTCTCCTCCCAACAAGAATTCTTTCCATGTTTCATCACTGCCCACTTGCCCATACACAAATGTCTGTGGAGGGAGGTTGACTCACCTCATGATGTCATTTCCTTAACTTTCACTTGCAATCAGGGTGAGAAACGACATGGTTTGAAATCTGATGGGCTTTAACATGCATACGGTGTAACACAGTATACGTGTTTACGTATGCTATGTTGCCATGTTTACAGGCCCTAAAAACGTGAATTCAGCAACAACAGGAATAAGGCCACCGAGGCAGGTCAACCTTTCAGCTCCTACTGGGACGCAACACATGGAAACACAGCAAACAGCTTGTTCTGTATTTGAGTACAAACTCTGACTGCAGTGACATTTGGTCCTACTGGGTTCTGTGAGACAGACAGAGTTTCCCAGCAAGATCTTAGTCAACAGTGGAGTGAAAACTGCCATACAAGGGGGGGAAAAAAGAAGAAAAAATTAGAGTAATTAACGACACTGGCACAGTTAATGATGTGAGAAAACTACACTGCCTTCAGAATCATTCAGCAGGATTGAAGTCATTGATTTTCCAGAGAGGCACTGTAGATTAAAAGAAGCAGAGGTGTTCTGTTCGAGTAAATGAAAGTCTAGGTCAGAGTTTAATAATGAAAACACTAATTTTCCACCTCTGTCGGGTTAGGGTTTCTAAGTCTTTCTTACATGTCTGTCATCCCCTCTTTGTTTATACAATGTTTACATCAACAAAACGTTACAAAACCACAGCAATATAGCATCACTTGACCAGTTACTGCCATAGACTGTATATAAAAGATGGATACAGCTACACATTGGTTTGCAAGGAGCATTTTTGTCATCACCATCTTAATGTTTTGAACCTGGACGAGCAAGAAGTAGATCTGACTAAATAAAACAAAACAAAAACAAGTGACATTGGACGCTAAAGAATATCCTGCTTCATCTTTACCTTTACGTGTTTTACCCTAAATAGATCATCATTTAAAATCAATTAAAACAATGCCATATTGTTTTAATTGATGCCGATACGACGGCATTGTTTTATCGGACACCAACTGAGACTATAAACTCATCCATGTTTTCTGAAGTCATACAACAAATGCAAAGTAG